CTCGTTTGCCCCCTTTTGACATTAAAAAAAATTGCCTGCTTATCGTTTTCTTGTTTTTTGGTGAATATGGGGAATATTAATTCTAATAAAATGAACACTTTTTCCCTTTCTAGGGTACACCTGGTTTTCCAGGCTACTGGTACCCGAGACAGCGTGCGGTTTTTAGTCGGTTCGAGTCCGACATAGCAACCGGTGGGTGGTATCCGTGGGGAATTCCGCACAGGAAAAAAAAAAGGAGTAATAGAAAAAGATGATATCTGATGATCTGATATCTTTGATACCTCCTTTTTTGGTTCGAATCGTTAAACTTTTAAGACAAGTAAACCCCTGAAAAGTTAATGAGTAGAGTGACTAGTTTGTTCTTGAAGGGCTCATACCATCTTCATTTTCACTTCTATCAGTTGCGTTGAAGACAAAGGCCTGCTCTATAACTCCAAGCTATTCAACCAAAATTTAAGATGAGGTATCTGGACAATCTTATTTTCATCAAGACAATCGTTCTTCATTATGTTTTATCTATATCAAATAGCAAATAGAATAAGAAAAAGCAATAAATCTCTCAGATTGATTGATTAAAGATTGATTAATTATTATTAGTTAGTGAGACTGCACGAATGACGTAGTGGTTTAAGTCGCCACGCCGCTTCCTACTGCGTCTAGTGTGGTGCGTTCAAATTGTTGTGGTGTGGTAGTGCGGGAGTTGTCTTTTTAAAAAAAAAATTGCCACTTCAAAAAGCAGGAGGTTTCTATCCCTATATTACGCAATATCTTCGCTGAAGTTTAAAGAAAATATTCTACCACAAAGTTTAAACATTAAGGGATAAAGAATACAGCTTAGTATTAACTATCGGCAAAGAAGACGGAGATACGTTTTGCATAACTAATTTATGTAAATATATGTATTAATTTTCTACTTTACTCTGACTTTCACAGTGTGTACAAGGACCATTCAATAGTTAACAATACTCGCAAAATATCAATAACACAAAAACATCTGTAATTAAACTTTTAAGGAGATATTACCACCTGTTACTGCTCTGATATTTCAAATTTAATAAAATTCTTTGAAAAACAAAAATCTTTTATTTCTTAAGTCATTTTCTCAATAGTACCTGCCCATCGGAATTCTGAGTGAGACAAAGTTGATTGATCTTGCCGACAGTTTTACCCCAGCACGTAAATCAATAGACTTTTAAGCTCAGCATTACATATGTCGGTAGTCCCAATATGCCACTATAATAGGGATGATATACGGATAAATTATTTGGTGTAAAGGCGTTCCTATAATTGTCGAACAAGAGAAGTGAAATCGATTCGAAATTCCTACTAAAGTTTAGTTTGAATTCAGAACTAGTTAAATTGAAAATCTTTGTATTATACAAATACATCAAAGGAACGCTGTCAGTAAACAGTTTCTTCATACTGACTTTTCAAAGCATGAAAAGAAACTCAAAATCCTAATTTTAGCAGTTTATGGGAAGTATTGAAAATCGCCATGTCGTTTATCGGACCGAGAAGCCATCGAGCAGTTAAACGTATAGAAATCGGCAAACAATAACGACTTTCGGTAAAATAAATTTCGTGAATTTTAGTAATAGACATTATAATTCTTAGGTATTATGAAATTCGGACTTTTGAAAATCGGAATATTGAAATTCGGAATAAAATATTTCGGAGTATGTGGGTGTTCCCCCTCAATAGATACAGGCAAAGTATGTATTTCTGCTTAATATTGAATTGAAAGACCGTAATAATTACGCCTGTTTTAACCTAAACTAATTTTACTTAAAAGATAACTTTTTCAATATTTATAGCTAATATAAAGAGTATTAAACACTTTGGCATGTAGATAATTGTTACCCTGCAACGTTCCAAGGTAACAAGTAATCTATTCTAGTTTCGCCTGTAGGCCTGTAAACACCAGCTACACGTTAATGGGTGTCGATGAAGCACCATCATTCGTAAGCCGTCGTACCCAAATTACAAAAAATAAAATGCTGTTTAACTATAAATTACATCTGAAGGACTATTTCAGATGACTAGAAAAACTACAAAAAAAAAACAGTGTAAATCTGTTGAGATCAGTAGATGTTCCTGTCCTATTTTATGAGATTCGCATAACAGGATCAACACACGGACATGCAACCCAAGCCTCTTCGAACTACTGATGCCTCAGTCCTGATTCTCATCCCAGACTTGCAGTGTCCCTTATCCTAAGTCCGTGTGGTGACGGATTAAGAATACGGAGTGTCTGCATCCCTATTTATCCCGTGGGTGTCGTAAGAACCGAGTAAGGGAGCAAACCACACAGGGTAACAGCACTGCAAAGATAAAGGAACCTTGACACAAACCCTACACCGTCTGGCCAGTGTGTTATAGTTGGCTAAAACGGGATGATTAGGGGTGGTAACAGTACGTATTCTTAATCCGTCACCACACGGACACATTAAGCACACGAATGGATAGTTATCCACAATGGCGATTGACTTACTTTATCAATCAAAAAACTTATTGACAAAATTGAAAATACTTCGAGTGAAATCGCATGCTAAAGGGTTTTATAAAATCGTTAAATCTACTATTCCAGAGTTGGAATTATTACCAACGTTAAATTTGTATAACTAATGGCAACTCAAATATACTTTCTTTGTTAACTACCGTAGCGAGAAGACACCACTCAAGAAATAATAATGTTTTTATTTCTAGTCTCAACCATCGAAGAATGCCAAACCACAATCCACTCGGCTCACGCCCGCTATCACAGATATGCATTAATGTAAAGATATCAAACAAAAACAATATTATCACTGACATTCTAGCTTGTACTAGCTGTATCAAAACAATCATTGCGTATTTGGTTCACCCAGTGAAAGCAACGCCTGTCTATACTCAGAGAGTCTACACAAACACCATTACGCAGGATACACAGCCAGCGCCACGCGATAGATTTCCAAATTGTTTTGATCGTTCGACTGTGTAGCCTTTACAATAGATCTAATTAGGTTTACCAGGAACTGTAATTTGTTTTGATACAGTCTTTAGGTTTTAGACTTACTTAAGAGTTTGTATAACGTAATTAAAAATGAATTGAAAGCATCAGAGCAGATTATTAAGTCGTCAAGATAGAAATGTTTTATAATTTAGCGGCGGCAATTTTCTTAGATAATTTACATTTTATTTATCTCATTGATTGGGATTGTACTTGTTTGGCGATCAGAAATGAAGCTATAAGTATTAAATACCAAGGAATTTGATATAATATCGGGATTTTTAAATGTATGCATAGAAATATTTAGTTTTAATAGTAATATTAACAGCTTAGAAGATCACATCTATCTTTGCTTTTTTTTATTTACTTCGATCTTTCACAGTTTTGATAAATGAAAGTTCATTACCTACTGATTCGTGTTGCCGGCGACCCATTGTGTTCTCGCAAGCTTTGCCGGCCATCACTCACTGTCATCAAACCAATTAAATACAAATGACTAAAGCTTTAGTGAATGTTTTTTCTTTCTTTGATAATTGTAGCTAAAAAGGGAATGACTGACACAGAAATGGGACTTTAGCAGGCAGGTTATGATGGTACGTACTTTAAAAATGTTTTGTTATATCAGTCTAGCCGTTTCCGCAGTTTGCATTTAAAGCTAAACTCTATTTCTAAGGGTCTTAAAAATTATTATTCAAATCTGATCAGTAGTTTAGTACCAGTAGTGCACCACAGATTTAACACAAAAAAAACAATTCCGTTTTTACTACTTACTAGACGTTTATCGGAGTTTCACTTGCATTTCTAGTCCGTTTGCAAGGATTATTGCGTAATGTTAAACAACCTTTAATCTTCCCCAATAAATACTCTTTCCAAAACAGTAAGAATTATGCAAATCTTTAAGAAAGTGCGAAACAAAAAAAAATGTTCAACTTTATTATTTTTCAAAGACACAGGCTTAGACGTGTTCAAAGCATCCTACCTAGGTATATGAATAAATCAGTCACTTAGATCATTTATGTACCTGGATAGAGACTGACAAAGTTTTGGAAGTGTCTAAAAAAAATCAAACTGGCTGCTTAGGTCACAGCTGAATCAACTCACAGGCATATTCATTTATGTAGAGTCTTCATTCATCCTTTCTCTCCAAAGAATATCTCAGTTTTGTTAAGTGAACTATTTATTAAGGGAGTTTTGCCGCACAGTCTATGGCTATCCATTTTGGTTTATCTTTTATTGCTACCAACATCATAGTTTACAAACGGATTTTGAATGATGGGTGTTATTCAATTTCTTAATCTTTTGATTATACGATTTATTCATTTTTCTATATTTTTTGTTGTATCTATACATATAAAAATGGTAATTTGGTTTGTGTAAGGTTCAAAAACCCAAAAAGTTTTACACCAAGTGTATACCCGTTGTTTTTGTTTGTTTTATCATCATTTGGGTGACAGGGTACTGCTAGTTATCTTGATGAATATGATTGTAAATATTCGTGTGTTCATCATCATCATCATCAAGAGCCTTTAATAGTCCACTACTGGACATAGGCCTCTCCTTAAAAAGGAGGTTTTGGCCTACAATACTACGCTGGCCAGACGGGTTGGTATAGGGTTTGTGTCAAGGTTTCCCTTTTTTTGCAGTGGTGGTGTCCTGTTTTGGGCCCTTAGTCGGTTTTTACGACACCCACGGGATGAATTGGGGTAGTGACATTCCGTATTCTTAATCCGTCACCACACGGATATTCGTGTGTTAAATAAAAGCTACTGGCTAAATCGTTCTCATCATTGTATACTACAGCAGGGTTACATAAATCTGCATTCCAAGAAATTTCGTCTAATCATTTTCAGGGATATTAATTGGAAAAAGAGCAAATAAATTAAACTCTTTCGCTTATTATCTTTATAAATGCTGGTATGTGTTTAAATTGCCAGTATACCATTCTGAAGGAGGTTTTACTGAACGGAATAAGTGTAGTCAATGGTACCTCATGGATTTTTATTGATATAAATTACAATTGATTGTATGGTATAGGTTTCTCAAATCCATCAGATTTATAATAGAACCCGGAATTATTATTAGTAGCAGTATCTGGACCAGGATGTGAGTTTTCAAACTGAACTCCACTTTTTGGATCAGCATTTGATACTGTCGGAGCTAAGTTATTGAACCTTTCTATTGAATTTTGATTTGGTCCGTTGGTAAATACAGTATTACTAGGACTTTGAATAAAAATATTTAATTGTTCTTTATCATCATTTTGAATTGGTACTGGAACTGGCTGTGGGTTTAATATAATACCTGGGACTAAAATGAGTTGTCCATTGACATAAATTAAGACAGAACTTGGGCTATAATAGTTGTTGAATAGTGGATTATACTGGGCAGCATTTTTCATCAATTTCGTTTTATTTTCTCTGATTGGAAGGTTTGTAGATGTTGATTGTCTGTCAAATTCTTGTGTATTTTGGTTGTTATATAGCTGCTGAATGTAATCATTAGGTAAAATAGTATTAGGTACTGCTGAATTTCTTCTTAATTGATTATTTATCAGTACATCACTTTTTGGAACATTTGTAGCAATAGATATATGTACAGTATTTACTGGAGACGGGCTATTAGTCCTTTGATAAAACTGGTAAGGAGGTTGCTGCGGGTTATAAGTATTCGATATAATATCTATATTCACTACAGTATTTCTCACAAAGTCATTGTTACTATTTAGAGCGTTAGTAGGGATGTTTTGATATGATGTGTATTCATCATTCTCGTTTCTGTCTTCTGGATGGTAATCTTTTGTAGCATTAACTTTCAATTTAAGATCCACATCACCTTCTTGGAAGGTTAAAATTTCCTCTTCATCCATTTTTGACGGCGATTCCTGTTCATCTTTTTTATTTTCAAGTTTCTTAGTATTAGTGAGAGGCAACCGTTCTTGTTTCTTGTTTTCATTATTATTTTCATTAAATTTTGCAATTATATATTTGTAATTATCGTTAACATTAGTTAATTGATTTGGTAAACTAGTACCAGGATTATTTAGCTTAGCTTCAGCATTTAGTGTATCAAATGTTCCATCGGGTGGGTTTTTAAGGTTTCGTTTGCTAAAAAGATCCATATGTTCTCGATAAGTTTCAACACGATCGTACGTTCGTTTAGTGTTATATGAATAGACATCATCACTTAATGGTACTTCTTCTACAAGATCTCTGTCTTTGACTGGACTTAAAGGAACTGATGTATGACTCTCATCATGATCCAGTGATATCTTTGGCATAAGTGACTCTCTGTTATCAGTTACATCAAAATGTAACCTATCTGTATATTGTTCGTCTGCTAAGGCCATGCACAACAGCGATAGTAATATCTGAAAATGAAATTTTATATTTGTTAGTCGTGCAATCATGTTTGCAATAACACTAAATCTTTATAAGCATCTTCTATATTCTTACAATCACGTATAGAATTCACCGAGGGGGGTTTCAGTACATAAGATAAAGAAGGACTAAGAGTAGTATATGAAGGCCTGATTACTATAACAAGACAATTACCGCAGTCCTCACGACGGTCATGCCTTTTTTTTGTTGACGGGGTGGAAAATCCCTCCGGATCTCCTGCAACTCGGGGGCTCAGGAGCCAGGAGTATGTGGTGATTCCACAAAAAGCCACCCCGACGGCCGGCCTAAGGTGCCCTACTCTGGGAGGACCCGGACCATGTTATTTCAGGTCCTCCCCAAATTGACACCATGCCTAACCAGGCCCTATCCCAGGGGAAAAACACTTCCCAATTGCAACGTGGCGGCTCAATTGCGTCTTATTGCAATAAGGCCGCTATCCTATCCCCACGACAGTCACGCCTAACACTGTTATTATTATTATAATAATATCACACATCTCACGCACTACAGTCTGATCCCAAACTACGTAGAGCCTACACCATGGTAACCATACTTCTGATAAACATACCTATACATTACTAAATAAACATATAATTATAAATAAATTACACCCAGACACATAACAAATGATTGTACTCATCACACAATGATTTGTCTTGAGTGGAAATCGAACCCACACTATTATGATCATAGATGTTAATAATACCAGCCTTTGCGTCATATTGATGCATTAACCCGAAAGGGACGTTCTGGATTATACCACGGATACATTAAATGCTTCACTAAAGAATATGGAGGTGTCTTTAGAATCTAATCACAGTTCAATAAATTTAAATTTACATACATTAAAAGAATGCTCTTTTTGAAAAAAAACCATAAAGACATAAGTTGATCATCGAACCATATAATTAAAACCAAACAACTTATCTCAGTTTTGAAAAACTAACTCACTAGATTTTCAAAGTATTAAGGATACAATCGACTCATAGCAATCATGTATCCAGATAAAACACTAACACTAAACACTAGAACTATCTAACCAGTTACATATCTACTATTTCCCCAAATTTATCTTCAGAGCACAGAAAAATAAGTTCAAAATTAACTGAAGTGCACATCGTAAAAATAATTAAAATAAAACAAATTTAAATTGAATACCTGTATGTTTATCGCCATGACGAAGAACTAAATGGTAAATAATAACGACATAATTCTTAAATGAATTAGAATTTGTAATTCATTTAAATATTAATTTTGTAATGGTAAAACCGGTGATAATTACCATTATCACCATTAATTTACTTTTAATTTGAAGTAACATGTGATACTTACGTGATAGGCCATCGAGTGAATCACAATAAAATTTGATAAAATTGGTATAGTGGAAAAAAGACAGTAATAATAACTAACTATTAAAGAAATAAAAAGAATAAATGTCCGTGTGGTGACGGATTAAGAATACGGAGTGTCACCACCCCTATTCATCCCGTGGGTGTCATAAGTGCCGACTATGAAGCAAATTACGCAGGCCAGCGTGGTAAAGTAGGCCAAAACCTCATTTCTAAGGAAAAGCCTATGTCCAGCAGTGGACTATAAAAGGTTGATTTTGATGATGAATGAAATAAAAACGATAAAACCTATACCCTTCTATCTATCTATCCTAAGATAATATCCAACCATGCAAATATATTTCGTGTGATCAAGAATACGGAGTGTCACCAACCCTATTCATCCCATGAGTGTCGTAAGAGCCCCGTAAGGGAGCAAACTACGCAGGACAACAGCACTGCAGAGAGAAGGAAAACTTGACACAAACCCTATACCAACCCGTCTGGCCAGCGTGGTATAGTAGCTAAAAAGCGAACCTGACTTTACAGTCGTACGGTCTCCCACCGCGTCATAGGTCAGTAATTTTACCAGGCTCAGTGGTTTTGGTAGATTCTTCAAACTTTCGAAAACATTGTGGAGAACTTAATCGTTTCAACTTAAGTTGACATAATTTTTGAATAAACTTTGAAAGGTCAAAGATAGATGACCGGGAAGGCGGGAAACGAACTATTATAATCAGTTGAATGAGATTTTTGCTACTACTGTAGTTTCTGTTTGCAAAATATGCCTTACAACTTTGCTTGCAAACTGTCTTAAACGCATCGTAATATTGATTTACAGCAAAAGACACAGTTGGCCTATATACGCGCTTAAAGTTATCAAACTAAAGTAATAAATCTCGGCAAACAGCGGAGAAACATTTCCTGCCTTTTCCTCTTATCTTTTATTCGTTATTTCTATTAACATAATGAGTAATCTATGAAAATTACAGACAAAGTCGACGAAACTAACATTTTGTATAGACAGGACTTTTTCTTAAGATAATAATAATAATATCTCACACAACTCACACACGGCCGTCTGATCCCAAACTAGGCAGAGCCTGTACTATGGTAACCAGACTGCTGATAAACATACTTACATATTTTTAAATACATACATATTATAGATAAATTACACTCAGACACAGAACAAATAACCGTGCTCATCACACTTTCTGGGTGGGAATCGAACCCACGACCTCCGGATTAGCAGTCAGGTTCACTAACCACTAGACCAACAGGCACAGGTATTGTTCAAATTTGATTACCAAAACCATAGTACATTAAATCAATTTGATTATTTTCTTTTATCTCAAAGAGTTTTTTACTTTTTTTTACTCTTTACAGAAGTAAAAACTTATTTCAATGATTTATAGACATGAGCCTTATACGGCAATTTGACTTTACTTGTGACTTGATTAAGGCAAAGAGAAATAAATGTTCAGGATATTTATTCTATCTCGTTAAATGTTGATAAAACAGTCATCTTTTAATTCAGTACGCGATTAGATTGAGTTGAACCGGTCGTAGCTGTGTCGATTTTTTTTCGGACATCTGTCACACAACGCCATCTAGTTTCAAACTAAGCAAAGCTTGTAATATGAAAACTAGATTGACTGATAGAATACTTATATCCTTTTTTTTATAAATACATACATATTATACATGGAAAACACCCAAACTCCGAAACAATTATTTGCAGATCATGCAATCATTTAGTCCGACCCGAGAATCGAATCCGAGACCTCAGCACAGCAGCACCACCGAGGCAGTTATGTATCTACTGTCTGAATATATTATAGATGTTATAGAAAGGATAGCTTTGCTTAAGAGTTGATACAACAGTACTCCACCTAACCGTTTTTTTCCAGTCCATGAATTTTAAATTATCTGTATAGTACCTGCAACAGTACATACTTTCTGAGCCGTTTTGTGTTGAGCTTATTTTTATTATTAGGGACACTGTGCTTAGCTTAGCACAAAAACAAAAACCTTAAAATACTCTGTTTTTGGCTGAAATGGTCCAATTAGGACAATAGAAATATTAGAATAAATCTTGAATTTGAAGAATCTCTTTAAATTCTAAGTAAGCCACATCCTTTTTCAGATAAACTAAAGGAAAAACTGTAACCCTTCCAAGAAAAGTTTTTAAAAATAATACAAATTAAACATGAGTGTATTACAAAATATCAGATCTACGGAATTGTAAAGCGCCACACAAATCCAAACATTAGAGTTATGCAGTACGAATACTTGACAAAAAATGTAAATAAATATATTGGTTTTATCTCCAGGTTTTTTTATGTTAGAGGGGGCAGACGAGCAGGCGGGTCACCTGATGGAAAGTGACCATCGCCGCCCATAAACGTCTGCAACTCAGGAGTCACAAACGCGTTGCCGGCCTTTTAGGAAGGTCTTCTCTTCGTTGATCTTTTCTTGAAGGTTTAAAGGTCGTATCGGTTCGGAAATACCGTCTTCAGGTTTAATTAAGAGAGAAGTTGAATACTGAGAAAAACTTTAATAGTTCTAATACACATTGTTGGAAATAAACTTACTAAATAAGTGCCGTACTAGACATACAACTTACACAGTATATTAACTCTAAACCCGTAGTAAAATGTAATTGTATGTAATTTAGTACATTGCATTTTTCCTAAGCCTCAGCTTTCTTCTTTTCCTTGACGTCTTCTTCATGATGTCCTTCATCTATTTCTTTGCTATCGTCTTTATCTTTAAAATCAGAAAACATGATCGCTGGCTGTACTCCAATATAGTTTTTGGTTTCTGCAGGTGCCACTGGAACCACTTGAGAAGTTTTTGGTGAATCATATTGAGTAGAAACATCGTTTTGAGGAGAACCAGCTGCATTTTCTTCTTTTTGGGGTGATGGTTGTTGATTATTATTTCCGTTACTATAAGTAGGATATGCTGTATTTGACTGAACACCAGGATTGTTAATAGCACCTGCATTATTGTAATTTGGAAATATATTAGACTGTGAATATCCATTCTGTACATTATACAATCCTAAATTATTATTTGGTTGAAGGTTTTGCGGGGCTATGCCGCTTGGTTGAATATTATTAGATACAGGACTGTTAGGAGCAGGTAATTGAATTGAAATTGGATTGTACCCATTTTGAACACCATAGTTAGGGACAGAGGGTGTAAAAACGCCGTTATATCCATTCTGTATTGGCAAATTTTGCTGTGGGTTTATGATAAAAGCCGGAATTTGTGTCAATTGTCCATTGGCATATATATAAATATAACTTGGGTTATAATTGTTTGGTAATGGATTACTTTGTGGAGTATTTGTCAATACATTATTGTAGCCGTTCGGGTTTATTCCGTTTCCTGTGAATGGAATATTCATAGATGTTGGTTGTCCATTAAGGACTTGATAAATTTGGTTGCTAGGTTGCTGTGGATTATTAGTGTTTGAAACTAATGGCACATACATAACATTGTTTCCATTTGGTTGATTGAGAACTGGTTGCCCATTTGGATATTGATAATATTGATTATTAGGTTGATGTTCTACATTTTTATTCGATGTTACAGGTACGTACATTGCGTTGTTTAAATTTGGTTGCTCATTTGATAAGACGTTATTGGGTATACTTTCATGTAAAAGATATGCATTGTTCCCATTATTATCAACCAAAATATAATCTTTGTTTGCATTTAAAGTGACATTTTTCTTGTCTTCGCCTATTGCGGAATTATTATTTTGTATTTCATTAGTTTTTGGAGGTATTTCGTCAGGCTGTTTAGATTTATCTTTTGGCTCTTCAGATTTCTGTTTGTCAACATTTGATGGAGTTTTGATATCATTATTTACGGCATCAACTGCTTTGTCATTATTTTTTTTTGTATCACTGCTTTCTGTATGACTATTATCAAATTTCGCGACTGGAGCTTTATCATCACCCATAATATTAATTGTTGGTTGGAATTTAGCAGGATATTTATTTTGTATGCTTGGTGGTCCAAAAGGCAGGGGCATATTATCAAAGTTTGGCCTGTTAAATAGTCTTGGATATCCAAAATATGGATCAAATGCTTTGTTGAATCCGTTGCTATCATGGAAGTGGTGGTCATGCATTTTATCATATTTAAAGGAATCACCGTTCACTGAACTGGATTTATAAGGACTGTCGTTATCAAAATCTATTCCAAAGGGATCTAAAAAGTATCCTTGGGTGATAACCACGCAGGCCAGAATGAATAGTATCTGTAATCAAAAGAAAATATTCAAGTTATTTATGTTGTTTTTTATGGTAGGGGGCAAACAAGGTGATGGGTAATCTGACGGTAAGTGATTACCGCCGTCCATGGACGCCTGCAACTCAAGTCACAAGTGCGTTACTGCTCTATTGAAACCCCAGCCAACCCCCCCTCCCCCCTACCTCCTAAAAAATTGGGTGAGTGGGTTTTGGGCTCCAGTAACCTCACTCACTCAGTAAAATGCAACGAAAGAATGCATTAACACCGGTTTTCTGTAAGCCCTTGCTCTCACTCCGGTCTAGCCGGCCCAATTGCATATAGTGAAAAAACAACTATGTTGTTGGCAAATTTATCTAAGAATTTCATTCCAATAAATTACTGTGTGTGGTTCTTCATAAAATCAGTGTTATGATACTCAGATTATTTTTATGAATAAAAGACAAAATATGTCCTTCTCCTTCTACATCCAGTCCTTTCTTCTGTGGAGTACGCTCCTGCCGAAATCAGGATGTCAACAAACCGCCTTGCATTCAAGATAAAAGTGAGCGATCTTCTTCGGAGTGAATTGGCAGAACAGCCAGAACGCGACTGAGTACCCGACTGAGTATTTTTATATTATGTTAAATTTATATATGTTTATGTACATCTCATACGTACATAAATTTATATATTGTGTATACTTCTAGACACACCCTACTGCATCACATTTCTACATCACCTGAAGCTTGACTGGAAAAGAATGCCACATGCCACCACACGCCTTTGTACAACATGTTCATTGAGTTTTAAATAAATAAATAAAATAAGAAGAAGAGAATATACCTACTATACATCTACACTAAGGGAGCAAACTACGCATCACAACACTACTGCAAAGAGCAGGTAAACTTGACACAAATCCTATACCAACCCGTCTGGCCAGTATAGTAGGCCAAAACCTCCTTTCTAAAGAGAGGCATGTGTCCAACAGTGGACCATTAGAGGCTGTTGATGAATATAACTTCATCATCATCAATCATCAACAGCCTTTAATAGTCCACTGCTGGACATAGGCCTCTCCTTAGAAAGGAGGTTTTGGCCTACTATACCACGCTAGTCAGACGGGTTGGTATAGGGTTTGTGTCAAGTTTTCCTTCTCTCTGCAGTGCTGGTGTCCTGCGTATTTCGCTCCCTTAGTCGCCTCTTACGACACCCACGGGATGAATAGGGGTGGTGACACTCTGTACTCTTAATCCGTCACCACACACATAACTAAAAAAATAAATTAAAATCTACTAAATATAAGCCACAGTCTACAATTTTTCTAGTAATATTAAAGTTGCTATTAGCTGATAATTATATGTAAAATAGCAGTTTTAACTTTGGTAGACATATGCAATGAATATATTCTAGTCTACTTAACTTAACTTCCACAGCGTAATAGATATCATATTGTAGGTAACTAAATTAGGTGTTGACCTGCCCAGTTGTACTTTTCGCAGTGGTTAATGTAGTTTAAAATTTAATTTGCGAATTTGGTTTAGAACATTTCATAAAAGGTCGTAGCCCACTTTCATTTTTAGGGCATTTTCCAATTGTGCTTCCAGTATAATGAAATCTCTAACTAAATTTCTTTCAATATTCCAGGAATAGATTTATCGAAATTTAAATTGCTTTAGAGGAACACTGTTCTAGAAGATTCGAAATTATATTCGATCAATTTTTTTATCAAAAGATGATTTACTCTTTACAAGCGGTATAATTCAAATAATAATAAAAAAAATTATAACTTCAGACAACTCACATACGGACATGTAATCCTAAACAAGGAAGAGCCTGTACCTGTAAAATGGTAACCAAACTGCTGATAAACATACTTATGTATTTCTAAACACACATAAACATACATATTACTTATAGATAAATAAATGAATAAATAATTTTACTGAATGAATAGATAATTAATAAATATATAATATTATGTTCCAAAAATATATTGAACACATTTTAACTACTTTAAATAAAAGAAATCTAAACAAATTACTATTACTGATAAGCTTTAGATTTTAAACAAAAATAAGTGTATAAAATCTTATCACCACAATGTGGTTTTTATAACTACATTGATAATTAAAAACACACAGACACTAGATATAACATTAAAACATTTTCACTATTTATCTATTCATTTTTTTTACAAAATTAGCGTCAAGGTTTTACTATAAAACGTGGAATAAAAAAATCTACAGTACCTGTCTGTAAGCCGCCATGACGAGAAATCAAATGATTGAAAATTACTAAATAATATTATATAAATGATATAGAAATGGGAAATACGCCACATGTTGATTAAACCACTAACGAGGTATCACTAATTTATATTTAATTTAGTCATTTTCGTTAATTAATTCGTAGAAAAAACACAACTTCCTAAGTATTGAAGACCGTAGTATGACGGGCCTGTTGCTCTAGTGGTTAGTGACCCTAACTGCTAAGCGTGGGTTCGATTCCCACCCAGGACAAATAATTGTGTGATGAGCTCGATCATTCGTTTTGTTTCTGGGTGTGAGTGAGGTTACCGGAGCCCAAATCTCGCTGCCGCCCTTGGAGTCCCTCCCGCTCGAGTCAGCGGGAGGGACTCCAAGGGCGGCAACGCACTTGTGACTTTTGAGTTGCAGGTGTCCATGGGCGGCGGTAGTTGCTTACCATCAGGTGACCCGTTTGCTCGTTTGCCCCCTTATACCATTTTTTTTTAAATTATAATATGTATGTATTTAGGAATATTAAAGTATGTTTATCAGCAGTCTGGTTAACACAGTACAGGCTCTGCCTAGTTTGTAAAATTTCAGTATGTGTACATTTTCAGTCTAGTCTTTGTTTTTTTTTTCATTATTTAGCTTGTTCAGTTTTGCATTTTAACTACAAAGCAATGGCTTTTTAAGTTACAACATTGCCAAAACTCGACAAATAAATAGTTGTTTTAACAGTTCAGCAAAGCTTACATGAAGTCTAGATCACTGATAAACACATTTAAGTAACATTTATTTTCTTAATATGTACAATGTACACATTAAAATAAACATATTAATCGCATTCGACAGGACATACCACACCAATTATAATAAGGCATCATGTGACAGCCGATGGATGTCCAGAGACAGTCCACACATTCCCGCCTGATTTCCCAGGAGAGGCTGTAAGGCAGACGGCGTGAGATGCAAATTTACCCGGCGCTGAGTCCGAAACCGAACGATATATTTTATTTAAGAGTTGAGCCTGGATTTTACCGTATAAAGCAGTTGTGCGACGGTTAACAAATAGCGAATAACGAGTTGAAACGCTAATTTAATTGAGCTTTCTGCAATTGTAATAAAAATATACCTCACACATCTCACACACGGCCGTCTGATCCCAAACTAGGCAGAGCCTGTACCATGGTAACCAGACTGCTGATAAACATATTTATACATTTTTAAATACATACAAATTATAGATAAATTACACCCAGACACTGAATAAATGACCGTGCTCATCACACAATATTTGTCCTGGGTGGGAGTCGAACCTACGACCTCCGGCTTAGCAGTCAGGGTCACTAACCACTAGAACAACAGACCCGTCATTAATTATTTCCTATTTTTAGAGTTCCATCCTTCAAAAGGGTAAAAGTAGAAATCGTACAAGATAACTCTGTCCATCTGTCTATCAAAACAGTTTTTAACAAATGCGTAGGATTACGTTTAAAGTAACATTTAATACTTATGTCTGCGTTCCCTTGTAAAAAAGTATGGCTTTTAAATCAATGCGATCAAAAGATACGGTCATTTAACCATTCATTTGTTTTTGTATCACAGTTGATTTTTAGGAACTTAAACCAAAGTTATATTACGTGTATTGAAAAGTATTTTTAGGACAACAGTTATTTTTGGCAGATTTTTTTTCTTTTCATTTTAGCTGTATCTTATGAGACTGAAACAAAAAAAATTTACTTAAGTGTAGAATAAATTATTACCTCATGATTTGGACGGGCCTCTTGGTCTAGTGGTTAGTGACCCTGACTGCTAAGCCGGAAGTCGTGGGTTCGGTTCCCACCCAGGACAAATATTGTGTGATGAGCACATTCATTTGTTCTGTGTCTGGGTGTAATTTATCTAAAATATGTATGTATTTAAAAAATTATAAATATGTTTATCAGCAGTCTGGTTACCATAGTACAGGCTTTGCTTAGTTTAGGATCAGACTGCTGTGTGTGAGATGTGTGAGGTATATTATATATAATAAATAATAATAATATTCTACCTCATTCACACAACGCCATCTAGTCCCAAACTAAGCAAAGCTTGTACTATGGCTACTAGACAACTGATATGAATACATATATACTTTTTTTTTGTAAATACATGCATATTATACATAGAAACACCCAGACCAAATCAAACATTAAATGTTCAAGCACACAAATGTTTGACTTGAGCGGGAATCGAACCCGCGACCTTTGGAATTGCAGTCCGTTACACAAACCACTATGCCATCCGGTCGTCGTCATATATAATCTTAGCTTTTCAATTTTAACTGCTTCAATGATTTTCTATTAAATTTTAATGGCAATACACACAATGACTTTTAACTACGTGATATTTGGACACGGGTTATGGCGTCGAACAATCAAAATATATTTATATTGTACTACACAGCTACTTCCGTAAGAAATAAAAACAAGTACAAAGTAAGTATTACTATTAGAAAGCTACAAACTATAAACATTAAGTACTAATTATCCTAAAAGACAATTGGCTAAATGCTAATGCCAGTTGACAATAATTGGTCATTCAGATTAATATATTAACGAATGACATAAAAAAATATTTATCCATCCAAATAAAATTGAAATATTTAATG